AAGCACACTGTGGTGCACACATGTGCACCCACCCACCCCCACACACACACACACACACACACACACACGCACACGCACATGCACACGTAAACAAATAAATAATAAATAATGTAAAAAAATTTTTTAAACCCATGGCATCCTTCAGTGCATTGTATATTTTAGCTATTTCCTTACTTGACCTCCTGGTCACTTGATATTGTTACTAACACCTTTCTTATTCAAAAGATCTCCTTTAGTTTCCAGTAAAGCTCACAGTTCTCCTCTTAAATTTGTACCCAACACCTAGAAGGCTGAGGCAGGAGGATGATGCCTGTGAGGCCAGCTTGGCTCTATAATGAGAACTTGTCTCAGAAAACAACGAAATGCAACTCAAACCAAACCAAGCCGGCCGGCCACTAAGCTTCCTCTTCTTTTGTCCCAGAAATTTCTTTTCCTCCTTCACTTTGTTCAAACTCAGCCCTTTCCTCGTTTCCACATCTGTGTGTGCCCACCAGATAATTGCGTACCTCCCTAAGTCTTTAGCTCCTGCTTTCTGCTCCTGGTCTTTTGTTCCCTTGTAAACAAGCTGACATTATTGAAATTGTTTAGCGATTCTCTTTTGTAAATAGTAAGGAACGGAAAGCTGAAGTGTTGATGTCTAAGGCAAGTGTCAAGAAAGGAAATCATTCCAAAGTCCTCACTCACTTCCTAGATCTCCTTTGACCTTTAAATTATGCTTCAAGGTCATTTGGAAATTCCTTAGGCACCTCAAATTGAATGCATTTGTTGCTGACACCACACTCCTCCTCCAGTCTATACTTCCTGTCCCATGCTCCCTGACCCTGGCTCCTCCTTCTTCTCCCTCTAATCCGAGCTTCAAAGCTAAGTGTCTGGATGTGTTCTTTTCTCTTTAGTCGCTCACCATTGTCCTTGCTGAGGGTCATGACTTCTTAGCTCCATCCTCTGCATCACCCCCTCCTGTTCCTTCCAGTTCCTGTCATTCGGCTGTTAGTGTGCGCCTTCTCAACGAAGCCTTCTCTCTTGATTAAAACCTTATAGTCAGGGCTGGAGTGATGGCTCAGTGGCTAAGAGTAATTGTGACTCTTTCAGAGGCCTGGAGTTGGGATCCAGCACCCATGTCAATTGGCTCACAACAGCTTGTACCTTAAGCTCCAGGGGATCAGACGCCCTCTTCTGACCTCTACAGGCACCTACACATACATGACATATGCACACATAGAGACACACACACAAATAAATTTAGATTTTTATTTATTTTTATTTTATGTGTATGAGTGCTTTGCATGCATGTATGTAAGTATACCACATGTGTGTAATGCCCACAGAGGCCAGAAGAGAGTGGCAGGTCTCCTGGAACTGGAGATAGGGACAGTTGTTAGCTGCCATGTGGATGCTGGGAACTGAACCCAGGTCCTCTGCAAGAACAGTCAGTGTTCTTAACCACTGAGCCATCTCTTTACCCCCGTAAATAAAAACTTAAAAAACAAGACCTAACAAATACCCCCCGCACTTTACAGTATTTTTTCTAGTACTCTGAAAAATGTTCAGGTTGTAAAAATGGTTGAATGTTTAGCTATCTGACTGTGTATTTTGCTTCATGGGTCATTTATAACCACCTTTCAGTCATGCTGAATTTGTTTCCATTCCTTGTCTGAGTAGCATAGACTATGAACATCTGATTTGCACTTTCCTGATCTAAAGGTCTCTTGGAAACTAGACATCATCCAACTTATATAGAATAATGAGAAAAATATATGTATATTTTTATAAAACTTGAAACACTTGAATATTTTAAACATGAAAAGATTTTGAATAATGTAGGGGTTCTGAGTAGACAAATTATAACAAAACCCCCATAATTAATGAGAGGAAATATCATTATTTATAACTTAATTCAAACCAAAATTAGCATTATTTTATAATTTAGGATTGTATCAAGTGAAATAACCATTTAAAAACTTCTAATTATATGGGGCTGGAGAGATTGCTCAGTGGTTACGAGGATTAGATGCACTTGCAGAAGACCGAGGTTGGTTCCCAGCACCCACACAGCATCAACCACCTGTATCTCCAGTTCCAGAGGATCCAAAGCCCTCTTGTGACATACACAGGCACTGTATGACATAGGTATTCTTACATACATGCAGACAATGCACTCATACACATAAAATAAAAATGTATTAAAGATAATCTTACTATAAAAGGGTTTAAGAAACAAAAGTGAGAAAAATGTTGTTACTTGGGGTACTCAACTGTCAATGTAGTTGAAATGAGCACCATCCAGTATTTCTGAAATCCACATGGTTGAGTTCTCAGAAAGTGGGTACATGTGACTCTAAAAGTTCATCTCCTTGAATTTTGTAGTACAGGATATATTTTAAAAAGCCCTATAACATGCTAAGATGTTTAACAAAGTAACTGTAACCCTATTCACTCTAGTTGGAGATACTCAAAGATTTGGGTTAATTCTTCTTATCCAAATTATACAGAAGACATCAATCCCTAATAACAACATTCATGATGTTTTATACCCTAAGTACTGATGTTTCTTAATTTAATGAGTATCCAGGGTGTTCTATATAGCACAGTTAGCCAGTATTATTACAAAATAATTAAACTGTGTTTGTATTTTGCTGATAAGAAGGAAATGGTCAACCCCTTGCAGAATACCATTTCCATTTCTAATCATTAAAATAAAAAGTAATATTTGGTTATGCCTACAAGGCCTATAAAAATCTGTTTTTTTAACAGGTCTGATTTCTTGTTTCTGTCACTATTATTAATATTTTGTTTGTGCAAAATAACGATCTTGTTAAAAGAAAGTTTATATTGTTATGTAATTTCTTTTATAATATGTCTTTCATTACTTTTCCAAACTAAGTTTGGCATGATAGCAACAAAATAAAACAGATCAAGTCAGTATCCACAGATAAGAGTTATGATTATTTAAATATTGAAGATCAATCATTACTAGAGTTAGAGCTAGCCACTCCTCATGAGATTGTAGCTATGAAATCAAACTGACCAAAAAAAAAAAAAAACACCACAATTGAAGGTAATAGATTTATTTAAATATTTCAAATAGAAGTAAGATAGCTCCTAGAGTACAAATAACTGCAAATATAGGACTAAACATATAATTAATTTAGTTTCTCATCTTCATCTGTTACTTTTACTCTGAAGTTCTAATCAGTTGATCAGCCTTTGCAGAGGGTTTCATTTTAAGATGCAGTTTTTCTGGGAGTTTTTGTCCACAAAAGGTTTATTCTGACTTACAGTTTGTGAGAAAAGTCCATCATGGTGACGCAGCTGGCCACGCTACATCTGCGCTCAGGAAGCAGAGAGCACTGAATATTAGCACACAATTCCTTCTTCAGTCCAGGACTGAATGGGAATAGGACCACAGGACGGTGCCCCCATATTCTGGGTGGATCTTCCCTCCTCCGTTAAAACTCTCACAGACATGTGCAGAGATGCATGTTCATGAAGATTCCCCACCCATCTTAGAACTCACTTCTGCGTCATGCTCTGACAAAATGATGCATGAGAGGAGTGGATCCTCAGGGCTAGGAGGTGATCAACAAGTACATATTATTTTAACATTGCTACATTTATTTATTTTGTGTATGTGTATGGGGTTGGTGTGTACAGGCTGCAGCACAGGTGTGGAGGTCAGAGTTGGTGATCTCGTTCCGCTGTCTGGGTTCTGGGACTCGAACTCAGGTTATTAGCCTTGGCTGCAAGTGCCTTTACCTACTGAGTTATCATCTCCCAGGCACCAAGAAATATTTAAAGTGATATTGAACATAGTGGGAATTTTGAACATAGTGGGATATTGAACACAGTGAAAATTCAGTACTTGAGTAAGTAGATGATTTCCAAATGTCTCCAGCTTGGGCCAACATATTCAATTGTTTTATGGACAGTTCTACCTGAATGGCCAATATGCAAATGAGTTCATAATTTTTGATGGATTTGCTCTTTTTCCTCAGATGTGATAAAATTATTTAGGTCATTTGGTAGAGTTTTACTAGCAAAAAATTAAGTCAAATTTATTAGTATCCAAAGTACATTCTATAGAAAACAGCTTTAGGGAAATGAAATATTTTATTACTTTGTTTTTGTGAATTACCTGAATCAGAGAATAATCATTACTGAGAGAAGTTTTTCAGTCTGATATTGTGTCTCCACACTTCTGCTAATCATCTGAGTATGTCATCACCAATGAGTAAAACTGAAAATAATTTTTATCAATTCAAAGCCAAATCTATCACTAAGTAATGTAATTACATAAATTTTCCCTACAAAAAGCATACTATCCAAAGTAAAGTAAGATCTATTTAGGTAGATTTTTCTGAAGGATTATGGTTGTTGAACTCAGATCTTTTAAAATGATGGAATGCACACAAACCTAAATTCTTCAGAATTTGAGTAAAATGAATTGACCTTCAGGTCTTTTCACACGAATCTTACCAGTACATAGTTAATTATTCTCAAATGTTACAGTTTGACTTATTACACATATCTGTCATTATTGCAGCTTGGAGACAGCTGGGATTTATATGTTTTCCAGGTTTAGAATCTCAAAAGTATTTCTTCTGATCTTGTCTCAGGGTAGGTAATTAGGAATTTAAATAGATTAAATTCAAATTTCAATGGTAGGGAGATGTTAGTAAATCAGAATCATAGGAAACCACAGTTTAGAGAAATTGTCCAAGTTTCCCAGCTAATTAGAGCAGATTTGGAATTAGACTATCAGTTATTATATGAAGCAAACGTTGTGTGAGAGATAACAATACTATCTATTGTTTGAAAGCTTACTAAATAATTATTTCCTGGTTGGGAAAGATATAAAAGAAGAAAATGATTTATCTGGTTTGTCTTTGAAATAAAATGTGAAAATATTTCCAGTGTTTATTTTGTCTCTTGCCTGATATGTACACACACTCATTTCTCACTTATTTTTTATCATTAATGAGCACTGTTTACCATACTTGCAGTGTAAATGAATCTGAGCCTTCCTTTGAAGCAACCAGAAGGTATTATTTCTATTTTTACCCGAGTTTAATAAGAATAACTTCGTCCCCTGGTCTTTAACCTCTTGCTCCTGGTTCCCCTGTTCATTCTGTGGCGTACAGTTATTTAGTAAAATGTGCTATCCCGACAGCAGCGGTTCACAGCCTTTGAAACCTGCTAAAAGGATTAATTTGCTAAGCCAGGAGTGGTGGCACATACCAGTTCTGGAGAGCCTGAGGCAGGAGGATTGATTTAAGTTCTAAGTCAGTCTGTGCTGTATCATGAATTTCAGGAACGGCCTGGGCTGCAGTGTAATACCCTGTCTCAACAGACCAAAAAGAAAAAAAATAAATTTGCCAAACAAAGTTGTTCATTGTAGCAACTGTTTTTGTCTCAATGGTCAGGTGTCTTCCAACCTTGGCTGAAACTCAAATTGTCCTTACTAAAGGGTTTGAGAGCTCAGAAAACAAAAACCCAAAGAAATAATGCATGCACTGATTGTGAATCCATTCTGAGTAGAGTGTTGAAATGCAGCCAAGTGCTACTACCACTCAAAATATAAAAGGCTCTGGGTTTGATCCCCATCATCAAAACATAGAACCCCCCCTTAGACTAAGGGGGAGGGAAGGCAGATGTGTCAGAGTTTGAGAACCACTGTTTTCCTGCATATATAATTATCTAAAAATCGACTAGCACACTAGACTCCAACCTGTCCTCTAAACTCTTAAGATGTAATGTTTCCAAATGACCACCGAGCTCATTCCTCCTCACTTTAACCTTGATCCCCTTTAACCATAATTCTTTCATTGGTACTGACAGATCATGAACTAACTATGGAAGTTGCCTTTTAAACTTCCCTCCTCCCTTCCCAGCCTGGTTCCATCATCTTCTCGCTCTTCAGCTCACATCATTTTCAAACAAATGATTGCAAATCAAAGTTTGATGTACAGACATCTGGTAGAATTTTAAAATCAAAGAAACAGGAGGGGAGAAAGTTGTCAGTTTAAAAATTATTTTAATATATTTGAAATATGTACTTTAAATGTGTTGTTTCAATATTGAAATAGACTCCTCTAGGTATTATTCTTCATTTTGAAATATTTATAAATTATCTATGACCTCAAAACGTTAAGCATCTGCAATTCTAGTTTCAATTCATGTTTTCTTAAAGGACTCTAAAAATTCACAATTGCAAAAGGTGCTTTTAATATAAGCTAAAACATTTGTGGTACTGGACATAGTGAATTATTAATATTCTCTGAATCTCAATTTAGAAAAGAAAATATCTATTAGTTTATAACTTAAAACACTTCATCAGCACAAGTGAATAAAAATTTACATGTTATGTGACATTTTTATTACTCTTTGATTAAATTAAAATCCTGTAATTTTGGTGGCTTATTTAATAGATTCTTAATAAAGTTGGTGGTTTTTATCTTTTTCTCTTTAGTTCTCTGCTACTGTACCTGAAATATTTTAACAACTTTTATTTTCCTTAGTTATACCAAAATGCCCACTCAGCACAATCCTTCATAACTCCACGTTTGTCTTTCCATTCTACTTTCCAGCAGGAACAGGTACTCTGTGGCTTATGCAGCTCAAAAGCCTTGGCTACTAAATGCTACAGTCGAGGAAAATATTACTTTTGGAAGTCCTTTCAACAGACAGAGGTAATTTGGCACATACAGAATTTAGGGTTGAAGTAACAAGTGCTTATAAGCTATGAGCTTGGTCCCTGGTTTTAGGACATTCACATGAGATACTTCCTATCTTTGTTGCTCACCCCTGCCTACCCTTGTCCCTAAGGTATTCTGAATCAACTCTTAAGAAAAAGCTCTCTTTGGAGGTCTCAGCCCACCCAGTGCACTTAGTGAGAAGAATTAATACTCCAAGACTAAACAGAAGAAAGTGATGTGTGTGTGAGTCTGGGATTAGAGTCACTCACGTTGGAACAGATAAAAAAGCAAATATCCAAGCATGTTGCATCAGGAGGGTTAACTGGTCAGAAGATGACTTTGGGAAAGAAAGTGTCAGGTGCCTAAGAGGAGTTAGACTATGCCACCTCTTGACCATCTTCCACAGGAAGGCATGAAAGTGACCTGTGCCTTCAGGAAGCTTTACCAGCCTGGGCAATAGGACCCTAACTCACCTGGCGTCTTGAAAGTTAAGATTAGGCCAGGAGAGAAAAGCCAGAAGCAAGACAGCTTGGGCAGGAAAACATAAGTTACTAGGGTCTTCTGGGGCCTGGGAAGTCAGGCAGAAGGACTTCAGAAGGTTGAAATCAGATCAGGTAGGATGCAGCCAATTGGATGCAGTTATGGTGTTCTGAGGAGGACTTACAAGCTGTAGGAGGGAGGTATGGCTGGGTGTGGTGATGCGTGCCTGTAATGCAAGTACTTGAGAGATGGAAAGAGGAGGATCAGGAATTAAAAGATCCTTGGATACATAGTGAGTTGGAGGTCAGCCTGGGCTACACGAGACCCCATCTCAAAAAAAAAGTCTAAATAAATAAATAAATAAAATAGAAAATAAAAATAGAATGGGGCTATAAGGAAAACTTGATGTGAAATTTGGGCTGGGCATGGTGGTGCACGTCTTTAATCCTAGCACTCAGGAGGCAGAGGTAGGAGGATCTCTGTGAGATGGAGGCCAGCCTGGTCTATATAGCAAGTTCCAGGTCAGCTGGGGCTACAGAGAAACTCTGACTCAAAAGGAAAAAAAAGAGTCTGCCCAATTAGATGTCCATAGGCAGATACAGCATCACTTGGGACCTGATGATATCAAGGCGGCAGAGAGAGTCAGGACTTTGACATGCTGTGTGTTCTCTGACTTGGACGCAACAGGGAAATGTAAAGGAATGGATGGTTGGGGAAAACATTCTAGGACAAGAATGGGCAAACTTGAGGAGACAAGATTGAAGAGGCAAGATTGACTTGAATAATTTAAGACTCAGTAATAGCTGAGGGCTGAGAGGCTGTCAGTAGAGTGTGTACCTTCCAAGCATGAGGACCTGAGTTTGATCCCCAGAACCCATGTAAGCACAACTGTGTGTTGTGGCTAGCACTGTAATTCTGGGGCTGGAGACAGGATGATCTCTGAGGTTGCTGGCCAGTCAGCCTTCATGTACTTGGTGAGTTCCAGACCAATGAGAGACTCTGTCTCAAAAAAATAAAGTGGACCACGCCTGAGGAATGACACCTGTGGTTGTCTACTGACCTCCAGATGACACCTGCACCTGCACACACACACACACACACACACACACACACAAACATGCAAACCCATGTACAAGTACATACATATACCTGCATACACATGAATACACACACACGTGTACATACAAACAATAAATAAGTGTTGCTAATTTCCCTAGCATCTCTCTAGTTCTGTGTTTCCCTATATTTTTAATTAGTATGCTTTCCAGCCCCAGCCTTAGCTCACCTTGAGTACTATCAGTTCTCATCGCCTTCCTCCCTTTAAGCTGCATGATCATACAAGACACCCAGTCAACCTGTGCGTGGCTATGATGAGCCCTTCTTTCCCTCATGGACACCATGAAATGCTGCATCTTTGGAACTTCCTTAAGCTCCATTTTGCTCATAATTTTTTTTCTTAACATATCCCTACATTTTCTGGGTACTTTTCCTTTAAGAGTGCTTGGTACCCACATCCACCGACATCATTTGACAAAGCACATTTCTGTTGTGCGTTTTTGTCTGTCTGCTGCTGAAGATGGTAGTTTTAAATTTTATAATGGAAAGATAAAATTCAATGTACTTTTCACATGGAGAATAATGCTTCAAAGTAGACATATACTGTGGACAGACAGAGATCTGGCTACTTAACGTACGTATTTCATCATATCACTATCATTTTTCTTACAGCAAGATTACTGGAAAGGTGTCCTTGCTTGTCCAGTGGGCTTACACTAAGTTGTTCAGCAAATGTTTTGTTTCAGTCTAAGATATTGAACTTGGGATTAAGTTTGTGGACAGGGTATGAACAGTGATCAGAAAAATTAAAACCAGATGAGTGGGTGAAGAACTCATAGTATATATACATTAGTTTATTCAGCATCTAGGAGAATTAAATTACATTTATTTATTTATTTATTCCCACTTCGCAGATAGCACCCTCCCATAGCCTTCCTCCCCCCCACTAGAGCCCTGATACTCTGATGTCCCTGCTACTGTCTGCTGTGTTGTCCACAACCCCAGCCTGAAATTACATTTTTTACTAGAAAATGGATGTGGCTGGAGATATTAAAACCAAACAAACCAGACTCAGTGAGACAAATACCATGCATTCTCTCTCATTTGTGGATCAGGATGTGTAAAACAATTTGCCTATCTCTGTGACATGAAGATGGAAGGGAGTCTAAGAGAGGAATGGATTAACGGAGATGGGGCAGGGGTGAGGAAGGGCGGGATGGAGGGAATGAATATGGTCAAAGTTCACATCTACTTGACAGAAAGTCTGTATTTTATAAAACCTGAAAAATCATTTCTCTCAAAGGTACAAAGCTGTCACCGATGCCTGCTCTCTTCAGCCAGACATTGATTTATTACCGTTTGGAGACCAAACCGAAATTGGAGAGAGGGTAAGCCATGTGAAGTTTAATTAATGAACAAGGATCTAGAAAAGTCTTTTGGTTGTCTTTATTCCTTAGGGAATGTAATGAAGTCTGAGAGTTTAGGAGTTGGAGTTGCAGATTGTCCTAGTGACATGTACCAAAATAGGAGGACAGGTGTCCTTTGACACCCCTGTCCCTTAGTACTCACTGAGTTACCACTGTGCATGTCCAGTTGAGCTAGGAACTCTCAGAGAATGTGAAATGCCATCCCTGACTTTGACCAGAGGTACTTTTGCTTACTTGAATCCTTTTGAAACTGAGATTGTTCCCAACAGTTCCTTCCAGTCTTGTTGACATCTATTTATTCTTTTTAAATTTATTTTTTATGTTTATGAATGTTTTGTCTGAATGTATGTAAGTGTACCATGTGAGTGCAGTACCCACAGAGGCCAGAAGAGGGCATCAGATCCCCTGGAACTGGAGTCATGGATGTTGTTAGGCACCATGTGGGTGCTGGGACCAAACCTGGCTTCTCTGCAAGAGCATCCAGTGCTGTTAACCACTGAGCCATCTCTCCAGCCCAGCATTTGTTTATTCTTGTCAAAGTGTTATCTTTACACAAACCTGCTTTATGTTGATGTCATGTTATTCTGACCAGTGAAAAAAATGTTCAGACCTGCAATGTTTATCACATGAAAGACTAATACATTTTGTAACTCTCATAGGTTAGAGGTTGTTCCAGGTAAAAAGGCTAATAATGTGCATATGGTCTGTGACAGCAAATTGGTGTTGTGGGCATTTTTTACTTTGTGGTACTTCTGAGAATAACCAAGGCTGAAGTGTCAGACTTTGCCCAAATGCAGTTATTTGAGATTACTGGACATCTGTCCTCTTCTTAGTGACTCACCCTCCCTCCCTCCTTCCTTCCTTCCTTCCCTTCCTCCCTCCTTCCCTCCCTCCCTCCCTCCCTCCCTCCCTTCCTCCCTTCCTCCTTCCTTCCTTCCTTCCTTCCTTCCTTCCTTCCCTCCCTCCCTCCTTCCCTCTCTCCCTCCCTCCTTCCCTCCTTCCTTTCTTCCTTCCTTCCTTCCTTCTTTCCCTTCCTCACTCCTTCCTTCCATTAATTAATTAATTAATTAATTAATTAATTTTGGTCTTTTTGAGTCAGGGTCTCCAGGCTGGCCTTAATCTCACAGAGATCTACCTGCCTGTATCTCCTGAATGCTGGAATGAAAGGTGTGTGCCACCACGTCCCGTTCAGTAATTATTTTTTATTGTAGCATCATGTACTGTTTAAGAGGAGTAACTTAACTTCTTTTAGCCTCAGTTTCCACAAGTATAAAATGGGAATAATATCTATGCTGTGTGGGATAAAAGAAGAAACGTAAAGCCATTTAGACAACCTGGCATATACTAGGTGCTACTTAATATTAGTTATTGATCATCATTCCTATTTCATTGTGAAACAATATTATTATTATATTGTTACATTATTATATATTATTCTTTTTAGCATAATGTTATATCAAATTAAGTAGATATGTGTTGGGAGCTAGAATGATAACTTAGAGATTCGAAGTACTTACTGCCTCTCCAGAGGACCTGAGTACCATCCTCAGCATCCACATCAAGCAGCTCATATGCAACTATAACCCCAGCTCCAGAAGGATCCAATGCCCTCTGGTTTCCAGGGGCACTAACACTCATGTGTGTATGCATGCACCCAGACACACATGCATATATACATAATTAAAAATGAAATAAAAAACTTTAAAAAACAGGTATGTGTCAATTAACCTACAGATATATTTCAGAAGAGGAAAAACTTTGGACTTGCTTGCAATCTTTGGCGCTCACCAAGTTCTGTTTTTTAATGCTTTTTCTACAGTAAAACGCTATCAGAGTGAAAAGAAAATGGTGTTAGTCACAAAAAAGACTATTAAGCTGGGCATGGTGGTGCAAGCCTTAAGTCCCAGCACTTGGGAGGCAGAGGCGGGCGGATCTCTGTGAGTTCAAGTCCAGCCTGGTCTACATAGTGAGTTCCAGGACAGCTGGGGCTACAGGGAGATCCTGTCTCAAAAAGATTAAAAAAAAAAAAAAAAGACTGTCAATATCAATATACTTCAAGCGTAAACTTTAGAGAAATTTCAGTCTTTCTTCCCAGTATTTCCAAAATGTAATAAATTATTAGTTATGTCTAAAATGTTTAGTGACATTCGCATTTTAGGGATTCTTTATTGATGGTGAAAATGGGTGTTTCTGGGTGTTTCCTTTCCAGGGCATCAACCTGAGTGGGGGGCAGAGGCAGAGAATCTGTGTGGCTCGTGCTCTTTACCAAAACACCAACATAGTCTTCTTGGTAAGAATCTGAGCTTTGTTTTTTTTTTTAATATACCACCCCCCATTTAGGGACAAATGGCTCCCTAAAAAGGTAAATCATGTGGCTGAAGGAAAGATGGTTTGACGGTTTAATCTGTGGAATTGTAGGGTGGAGAGGAGAAAAAATCCCCGCAGTACAACTCAGCAGACCAGTATAGAAGTTGAGAATTGGTGGATCCAGATTGGGGTCCAAGAAAGTAAAATAAAAGAGCAGTGGGGTGCTCTGAGCAGCGTTCAAAACATGCATTGCCTCCCAGCACTCCCATCTCCCGACTTCCTTCCCCGTCTCCACACATTTGGTGTCCATAGAGGCCAGATGAGAACATCAGATCCCCTGGACCTGGAGTAACAGGTGGCCCTGAGCAGCCTAATGTGGTGCTGGGAACCACACCCAGGTCCTCTGCAAGAGCAGCAAGCGCTCTTAACCACTGAGCAATCCATCCAGTCCCCAATAGTTTTCTTCATTTAAATGTCCCCCAAATAAGGACAAGTATTATTTGATACTCTGTGTAACACTGCAGGAATGAACTTACGGATGAAGAGAACCACTAAAGTCCATTAAGACAGCTTCCTAAAGCATTGTCTGTCTTAAGCACTTGGTGTGTGACACCTTCTTCCAGGGAAATGCATTAGCTCAGTGTTAAGTATGTTATTTTTATAGCTAATGACAATAATTAACATTTATCTAGTGTCTATTATGTACCTGCTCTTATTCAAAGCATTAAATTTGCATGAAAACATCTTGTTAAGGAACAGAGTCCTGTTGTGGTAGAAATACCATCTCTAAGCTCAGATTCATCTACAATTCAACTACTCCAATTATCTCTTCATTCTTTGTTTTGGTCTGTTATTGTAAGTTGCTAAGTAATGTTGGTTTCTGAACTTTAAGAGTCTAGAAGAATGCAAATTACTTACAATATTGTTATTTACTTTTAAAGTATTATAGTTTTCAAGGTGAAAGAGAAAAAGAAAAGCTTCAATTTTAAGTTAATGTTGTTTTAAGTCCAGAGTCTGCTGCTTTTTTACATATTGGATTTGGGAAATCCCTCCCTCCCTCCCTCCCTCCCTTTCTATCATTCTTAGAATTTTCAGTGGCATATATTCATTGTGTACTTGTCCCTCCCGCACTCTGAGTCTGTTTACTCCCCTCCACCCCCTTCCTTTTTCCTCTACCACTCTGTCCTCTCCGTCTGTCACGTATGTATGGTTTTATGTAGCACTCTACAGGAATTATGGGACCTGTTCACCTCCCTCTACCCTTCAGGTCCTGTGTATACATGGTTGTATGTGTCTCTCTAGAGGAATGGAGTTTGGGACATGATCATCTCTCTTCTGCTTCAGGATGACCCTTTCTCAGCCCTGGATATCCACTTAAGTGATCACTTAATGCAGGAGGGAATTCTAAAATTTCTCAAAGAAGATAAGAGAACACTTGTTCTTGTGACTCACAAATTGCAGTATCTGACCCATGCTGACTGGGTGAGTCTCCTGACATTTATAATAACACTCGTATCACAGTGGTGTTAAGAAATCATTTCTGAAGTAGCTTTAATTCATTGGACCACTTTCCGACTTTGTCGTATTTCTGCTGATGTCTTTAGATCATAGCCATGAAAGATGGAAGTGTGTTAAGAGAAGGGACTTTGAAGGACATTCAAACCAAAGATGTTGAGCTTTATGAGCACTGGAAAACTCTTATGAATCGACAGGACCAAGAATTAGAAAAGGTGAGCACCCAGTTCAGAACTTGGAGCCCCCGTATAATTACTATGAATGCTTTGAAGAACTGTTGTGCTTCATTAGATGTGCAATGCTTCATATGGGTCCTCATCTGAAATCCCAGATAACTGAGTTTTCACATATCATTAGTGAACAGGCTACTTTGAATCTACTGCGTTTTATTTATTTATCACTTAGTATGGGTATGTGGTATGGTATTTGTGTATGTAGTAGTTTCTTACATCTTGGTTCTCATGAAAGTCATGAAGAGCTGGGCGTGGTGGTGCACTTCTTTGATCCCAGCACTCGGGAGGCAGAAGCAGGCAGATTTCTGTGAGTTCAAGGCCAGCCTGGTCTATATAGTGAATTCCAGGACAGCTGGAGCTACAGGGAGACCAAAAAAAAAAAAAAAAAAGTCATCAAGAATTGGGGCTGGAGTGATGGCTCAGCAGTTAGGAACACTGACTGATCCTGCAGAGGACCTGGGTTTGATTTCCAGCACCCACATAGTGGCTAACAACCATTAGTAACTCCAGTTCCAAGTAATCCAAAGCCCTCTTCTGACGTTCATGGGCATTGCATGACAAGGGTGCACTTACATGCATGCAGGCAACACACACACACACACACATACACACACACACACACACATATATATATATAATAAAAATAATAAAAAACAATAAAGGGGCTGGAGAGATGGCTCAGCAGTTAAGAACACTGGCTGTTCTTGCAGAAGACCCGGGTTCGAATCCCAGCACCCACATGGCAGCTAACAATTGTCTGTAACTCCAGTTCCAGGGGATCCAGCAGCCTCTTCTGTCCTCCGTAGGCATTGCATGACATGGGTGCAATTAGGAATACACACATACATGTAAAAATAATAAAAAATCATAATGAACAAAATATTAAATGTTATGAAGAAAACCACAGAAAGTCATGTAGGTGCACGCTCATGCACACAAGCGCAGACTACAGGGTCCTTTGGGCGTCCTGCTCTGTCACTCTGTTTTATTTCCTTGGAACAAGATCTCTCAGTGAACTTGGAGCTTGGCTGGTGGTCAGCTGTCCCCAACAATTCTCCTGTCTCTGCCTTCCATAATGCTGAGGTCACAGGTGTGTGTGACCATATCTGGCTTTTTACTTGGGTGATGGAGATTCAAACTCAGGTCTTCCTGCTTGCACAGCAAGCACTCCTACCCACTGAGGCATCTCCCCAGCCCCTGCACTGTTCTATCCCAATGCTGTCTTTCAGATGAAGTGCTGTTTGAGTTTGGAGCTAAAACACTTGCAATTATGAGTACATCTAAAAGGCTGGATGAAATATTAATTAAAGCTTGAGACTTTCTTAGTTCTGATTTGCTGATTTATACTGCATTTTTATCATATATAATATTTTTCATTCATTACCTAAAAACAGAATCATGGGCAAGACAAAAGCCAAGGTGATCTTGAAAGAAGGAAAGCTGTTTGCTCTGTCCGAAGTCGCCAGGCATGTCCGGAATGATGCTAAAGGAAGCTTTGCAGAAAGAAATTAAAACAAAAATTTATGTTTATCTTTTTTACGAATTCACAAAGCCCTTCTTACATAATCTCACTTAGTTCTCATAAAAGTCATGGTGAGTCAGCACAAAAAGTATTTTCTCACTTTTACAGATGAGAAAACTGAGGGGTAGAGGCATCAGACGACTTTCCTAAAGTTGTACAGCATCTACAGATGGTGCTAGCAGGACTAAAACTCGAGACCAATCCAGTGTAACTGCACCACATTGCAGTAATAGTAAATGAAGTAATGTCAGAGTTGGAAACCAGATTCGGTACAGCTTGTGTCCAAGAGAAGAAATTGTAAATTGAACTTGAAAAATCTCTGAAAAATTTTGCTTTTGCGTTTGGGCTAGGATGTGTCCAGAATTTGGTAAATTGACTGTGACTGGGCTTTATAAAATGAAACTGTTGTATCAGCTAATTTCTAAAAAATCGATTAGAAAAGTAAATTGTACTATTTTGGAAAGGAAAAATAGAATCTCCGTTTCTGTAGGAAAAGGAAGATTAAAAAGTAACACAACTTCTGTTGTGTTTCTTCTTTCTGTAACAAAGATCACATAAGGAAAAAATACATGTTAAAATATATGCCTAAAAAAGGTAGAACACAAGATGGTTGGAATTAGGATGACAGGGAAAATATTACAACGTACAGTGAGCAAGTGCCCACTTAGGAATGGGTCTATGGGAAACTTGACCATAAATGTACTGGGAATGGCTCCAAGTGACATTTTTTTCAGTGCTCTAAATGTCAGGGACAAAAGAATATGATGTGATGTAAGCTTAAGGAGTTAGACAATTTATGGGTTACTTCAGAAAGAAGATCTGGAGGAAAAAAAAAACAAAACAAAGCTCTTGTCTCGATGTGACAGTGATATCATTTAAGCAAGCCAGGAAGAAAGTCCATTAAGTTGTATTTAGAACTGAAGGGATCACCTGAGATAGCATAGCTTCATAATTAAAGACAGATAACAGAGTGTATAAATCAACTCAGAGAGATCTGGAGCAAACTAGGGCAGGGCCAGGGTAAACGCAGTTGTGAAGTGGAGGCCAGGAGGAACCAGACTGAATCCAACACCTGCCTTGAATCTCCATCTAGGGCTGGAGAGAGATTATTGCTACTGAAGGAAGGCAGTACTCAGGGCTGGGGAAAAGGCTTCGTATGGGTAAAATTCTTGCTGTACAATTGTGAGAGCCCGTGTTTGGATTGCCAGTGCTTTCATAATAAGCCATGCATGGTAGTGTGTGTCTGTAATTCCAGAGCTGGGAGGTGGGGACAGGAGGATCCCAGGGGCTTGCTGGTCAACCATCCTAGCCAAACAGATAAACTTCAAGTTCAATGAGAGACCCTGTCTAAAAAAGTTGGAGAGCGACAGAAATGCCTGATGCCTTCCCCTGGCCTGTAGGGAACCCCCCACCCAAACAGCCATCCAGCCAAAGCTCAGAAGTACAAGGCCAAGAAAGCCTGGCCTGTGTGCAGGACACAGGGAAAAATTGCAGAAGGAACATGAATACAACGTCAGTCAAAGCCCTGCTCAGGGATAAGAACCCAGTGTGAGCTTCAGGGCAAGAAGGAAGGACCATGTCAAAAAGAAGCAATGGGGCCACAGAGCTGGCTCAGCAGGTAAGAACAAGGGCTGCTCCTGCAGAAGACCTGGGTTCCGTTCCCAGCACCCACATGGCAGCTCATAACCGTCTGTAACTACAGTGCCAGGACAGCTGATGCCCTCTTCTTGCATGCACTTAGATACATTCAGGCAAACACTCATATTCATAAAATAGTAAATAAATAAAGTTTTTAAAAGATAACGATGAAACCTGTAACAAAGATCACATTTGACTGATTTAAATATTACATAAAAATGTAGCTTCCAGCCTCAACTACTATTTTCATAATGTTATTGAGCAAAATAAGTGAATATCATCTGATGATCCTGACTTCCTGTTTCCCTTCGCACACCTCAGCGAGGCCCAGGAAATATTTATTGGATAAATGAAACTAAATTTGTATTTATAATGCAAACACCAATGCAACTTGAATAATGACTTTAATAGGAGCATTTATTTTGAAGAAAAGTTGCTTTAAGTTTTGTTTTTTAAGATTTATTTTTATTTTAAATTATGAGTGTGTGTGTGTGTATGTGTGTGTGTATGTGTGCATATGACTATGTGCAAGTGAGTGCAGGATCACACAGAGCTCACAAAAGGGTGTTGGATTCCCTGAAGCTAGAGTTACAGATGGTTGTAAGCTGCCCAATGTGGGTGCTGGGAACCAAACTTGGGTTCTGTAGAGAGGCAGCAAGTGCTCTTAATCACTGAGCCATCTCTCTAGCTCCAAGTTTCTATGATTTTTTTGTTTTGTTTTGTTTTGTGGGGGGCTGTGGGTTTTTTAACTAGGATAAATGTTAAACTCACATATAATTTACAGGAGCTATCCCAAGACTAAATCTACTTTTCCATGTTGAGATTTGCTGCATTCCATTTTATGATTTGGGAGGGAGAGGGAACTTTATTCATGTTTTATTTAGTCCCATAGACACATGCTAGTTTTTACATCATTAGGTAACATCAGTGGCTAGTGTAAAGCTGTCACTGTAAAAATGTTGTTCAGAGTTATTGATAGTCTGAGGATTGCTGTGACTATTTTAATCACAAATCCAGAAAGAATGGAAATGGAACCTTCTAGAATGGAGAGCTTTCCACATACACGCTACAAGACCAAACCAAACCAAACGCAATACTTAGTGACTGATCACTCAAAGTTCATTTGATTATTGGTGTAATCATCAAACTGTGTGTTTATCATTATTCTTTTCTGTTAAATTTCCTGAGCCCCCAGAGGGCCTGCGATTTACCATAGACTTTGAAGTCTCTCTGTCCAGGTGTCTGGAACATTCCCTTATAGAATCAGGGTGATAGTGTTCCAGACTGACTGCAAGGACCAGGTCTAACAAACTCTATAATACCTAATCATGCTGCTAAGGTTCTGAGGCTGGTGATGGATAAAGAAAACAGCTTTCCCCTTTGTATCCTGGCCAGAGGACCAGCCCACATCGACTCTTCATATACAGCAGTTTGATTTTGGCACCGAGAGTTTTACCTATGGGGTGGTCTAAACCTGTGAGGTACCAAAGGTCCCTTGTTCTACATGACTCCTTTCCTCCCGAGCTTGTTACCCTTTGTGTTTATGTATCTCCTTCAATGAGATGTTAAGAAATTCATGCTGATTTAATCATTTGTTGTAATAATGGATGCCTGATAGCAGTTTTGCCCACCCCAAACTGTATACAATTCTGTTTATTTTCCGAAGTGCAGTTTTCCTATGAAACTGTAGCTGGCCTCAAACTCCACCCTCCCCCCGCCTCAGCTTCCCAAGACCTGGGAGGGGGGGGTGCGAGGCAACATGCTCAACCTCTGTACTGTTTCTTCTTTCCTCAAACTCCACCCTCCCCCCGCCTCAGCTTCCCAAGACCTGGGAGGGGGGGTGCGAGGCAACGCTCAACCTCTGTACTGTTTCTTCTTTTGATTTTCACATGTGTGTCGTGTCCTGTGCAGGTATGCGTGCATGCTTTGCACACGTGCGGGTGGGTAGGTATGTGGGTGCTTGCAGTTGGTGGTCAAAGGTGATGTCAGGAGTCATCTTAATTCATTGAAGCAGGTTCTCTTGATCAAACCTAGAGCTCATGGATGTGGCTAGCCTTGGTAGCCAGCTTGCTCTGGGGATCCAGTCTCTGCCTCTATTTTCCAAAGCTGGATTACAGGAGGCCACCATGCCTGTCTCTGCCTCTGTCTTCCAAAGCTGGAATTATAGGAGGCCACTATGCCCACCTGATATTTATGTGGGTTCTGGGAACCTGAATTCAGGTCTTTGTGTTTGCAAGACAAGCACTTTAACAGCTGAGCCATCTCACTAGACCCCCACTTCAACATTTTTAAAGGAAGGTATTTAACAGAAATGAATCCTAGGTTAGAAAAATTAGGTCTTGGTGATGGAACTACAGAGTTAGCCCCTCACATTGTAACTCTTTCTGGCTTCTCACCGGCCTACATCTCTGAGCACTGAGCACTGAGCACTGTGTAAACTTCCAGCATCTGTTCTCACAGTGGCTCCTGTGATGGAGTCCTATGTGAACAGAATCCTTGAGACCTTGAGACTGGTATAAAACCATTGGTACACATGTACCATTCATGGGTAAGTCAAGCCGTTTTCTGGTGGGAGTTCCTTCAGTAATACTATAATGTCCTCTGTAGGACATGGAAGCTGACCAAACAACTTTAGAGAGGAAAACTCTCCGAAGAGCCATGTATTCAAGAGAAGCCAAAGCTCAGATGGAAGATGAAGATGAAGGTAGTTCTTTCTTATTGTATCTGAAACATTCAAATAGGTTGACATGACGTGAGAGGGTCATGTTGGTGACTGGTGCGCTACTGTGTCATGTTGGTGACTGGTGCGCTACTGTGTCATGTTGGTGACTGACTGGTGCGCTACTGTGTTGTGTTGGTGACTGGTGCGCTACTGTGTCATGTTGGTGACTGGTGCGCTACTGTGTCATGCCCCTTTACAGAGGGCGCAGAGCTGAATTAAACACATAATATTGAAAATGAAAAAGAGTCAAGGTAAGGCTTATGTCCCCCTTCAGTTAGGGCACCACTCGGTGTCTCTTACTAGATTTATGCTGTGTGTCACAGAAGAGTGAAAGATGTTGGGGTTCTGGAAACAGAAAATTTGAAAAGGTCTAGTATAAAGGGCCATATCAAGTTAATAAAATGTTGATTCTTCAAAAATCAACATCAGGGACTGGAGGGATGGCTCAGCAGTTAAGAGCACTTGCTGCTCTTGCAGAGCGCCAGGATTCGGGTCCTAGTACCCACGTGGCAGTTCATAACCATCTGTAACTCCAGCTCCAGGTGATCTAATGCCCTCTTCTAGCCTTCATGGACTCCAGCACACATGCGCTGCACATAAACTCATACATGCATATACACATAAATAAAAAAATGCCTAAATCTTTTTAAAAAATTTTTTTTGGAAATATGGGAAAGATGGTGTTTGGAAGTTCCTTCATTTGATTCATTCAGTAAGTTCTCATGAGGTTTCTATGACAACACAGAAATGAGGGATAAGGAAATTTGAGAGCCATTTGTTACATTTGAATTTTCCACATCTAATACAGTTACTGAAAAAAAAAAAGATTTACTGGGCATTTGAAAAAAACATAAAATAATTACGTCGCCTTGATACGTGTTGCCAAGAAGATTGTGAAATAAACTACTCTGAAAGTCCATAGAGCAAATTCATCAGACTTCAATTCCTCTGAAGTTTTTATTTACCATGGCCTTTCTTTCAGGACAACTGAGTAGACAGCATTATAATCTGAAGGTAGAGACTGGCAAAATGTGCGGCCTACACATTGCAGGTGACAGGCCTTCCGTGTTTGGGTAATATTCATGTAATAAAGGGATGAACCCAGTAGAGGATGGATTTTATATTTTAATTCCTAATTTTGAGGGCATTTTATGCTGTAAGTAGAGTACACTTCTAAAATCCTAAACCAGTTGTTTCTTTTCTGCAATATATATTTTATTGAATTTTTATGTATTTGATAGAATACATCTTAATTATATTCATCCTCCCTCCCCTTTCTGCCCCCCATTTCTAATGCATTTTGTATAATTTTATTGAATTTTTGAAATTTTCACACATTATAGTTTGATGGTATTTAAATCCCCTCCCCTATCCATCAGAGAAGTTTCCTTATGCAGCAGATGGTGACTAACACAAAACCCTGCAATTGGCCAATGTGCAGAGAACAAGAGGCCGCAGAGTGCTTGTCCCCAGTAGGACACCTACTTCAAACCTCTGCCTCCCAAGGCTCAGGGATCACTGTGGAAGAGGAGGTGGAAAGATTGTAAGAGCCAGAGGGGGTAGGTGATCACAAGGAAACAGTCGAGACAGCTGGTCAGCTACTTATTTCTAATGCATTTTAAAATGTAAAGTTGTACCAACCAGCTTGAGACTCCCATGCTGCAGGAGAGAGCCAGTCACTGAATGTGCTGCTTCAGCTCTGGGCTTGCTGGGTCGATCCTTCTTAGGTGTAAAATAACAATATTTTCTTTATAGAAGAAAAGGGAGTAATGCATGTTAACTACATAAACACTACCTGCTAGGATGATTGCTGGCCCAGGTCCCAGAATTATGGCTATTAAACCACCAGGAAGCAGGGAAGGGAGGCAGGGAGCATCTCTCCCCTGGGGAACTGGCATGTGTTATTTCCACTTACTATTGACCAGCTCATCACGTGGACAGATTAGGTACCAAGAAAGTGAACACGAGCTGTCTTTAGGTGGAAGGCATGAGTAATTTGAAATTTCAATTGGTGGAAGGTGGACACTGGGAGGACAGGTAGCAGTCTGCAAGGACGCACACACACACACACACACACACACACACACACACACACACACAATTCTTCTCAAGTCCTGCCCACAGAGAGAGCACTCTCTTACCAAAGAGGATTTCATCCAAGACTTAGTCCTTACAGCATTCGGCTGAAACACAGGAAGTGATGATGGACCATCTCCCTCTCATATCCAAATTGGATCCCTCTAGTCTGATAACCCATAGACAAAAGACAAGTTGCCTGTCCTTTCAACTCACAGCTGGCCCCTGTTAGAGTGGTGGAGTGGATTGCACACAACATAAGCATAATGTGCACAGCAGTAAAGAAGGAGCAGGAGGAGACTTCACCGTCACTCGACCATATGACTCACCAAGCTTTGCTGATCAGAAAATCAAAAGCTTCCCTGTCATAGCAGTGGGGTGTGTTTATAGGCTAACCCATCTTGGAGACTCCAGATGGGTTCAACGTTTCAGAGGCACACTCTGCTCTGTTGACTTCTGTGGTCCCTGGCTTTGCCTCTTCTCCATAACATTTAAAATGGGACAGAAAAATGATGGGCTAGTCTGCCGAGGGTGTGTAGATATTTCAGAGCCTCTTTTCAAAACCCAGTGCAATTTTCTAAATTAAGAAATCTATGGATCAACGAATTATAGATGTTTACAGGCCAAGAACATGGTTTGATTGGCAACACAATTCCATCAGTAACTTAAGCTTCTGGACTATTTGCACAATCCAGAAATCAGCAAGCAATCTGATCTATACATGGATCTTTTACTTTGTTCATTATCCATCCATCCATCCATCCACCTATCCATCCATCCGTTCATCCATCCATCCACCCATTCATCCATCCACCCATCCATCCATCCATCCGTTCATCCATCCATCCATCCATCCATCCACCCATCCATCCATCCACCCATCCATCCATCCATCCACCCATTCATCCATCCATCCACCCGTTCATCCATCCATCCATCCATCCATCCATCCACCCATCCATCCGTCCATCCGTCCATCCGTTATTCATCAATCCATCCGTCCATCCATCCATCCATCCACTCATCTATCCATTCATGCATCCACCCCATCAATCCTCCATCCATTAATCCCCATCCATCCCTTATCCATCCATCTCCTGTCTATCTTCCATCCATCTAGCTGTCATCCATCCATCCATCCATCCATCCATCCATCCATCCATCCATCCGTTCATTTTCACCTCCCTCCCTTCCTTTCCTCTTCCCTTCCTTCCTTTCAGAAAGGATTGAATGTAGCCTAGGCTTTCCTTAAGCTCCTTATGTAGCCTGTAGCCTAGGTTAGCCTTGACCTCCTGATCCTCTTGCCTGTACCTTCCAAGTACTGGGATTTTGGAATCATGTCACCATGACTGAAAATTTTTCACTATTTAAAAAAAATTGAAGTTTGCCCTCCTTTAAGTATTTAAAATTCCAAAACTAATACACGTCTAGAAAGTTAAATGGAGTTTTGTGTTTTTATGGGGAAATAAAAAGTCTTTCTGGTGTTCACCTGAAGATTAAGCAATTTTTTTGTGTGTGCAAAAATATAGAGGAAGAAGAGGAGGAAGATGATGATGACAACATGTCAACTGTGATGAGGCTGAGGACCAAGATGCCCTGGAAAACCTGCTGGTGGTATCTCACATCTGGGGGGTTCTTCCTGCTCTTCCTGATGATCTTCTCCAAGCTTTTAAAGCACTCAGTGATTGTGGCTATAGACTACTGGCTGGCTACGTGGACATCAGAGTACAATATAAACAACACTGGAAAAGCTGACCAGGTACAATGACCTCAGGAAATAAGGAGGTGAATGGGGAGACTAAGCTGACCAGGTACAATGACCTCGGGAAATAAGGAGGTGAACGGGGTGACTAAGCTTACCAGGTACAATGTCCTCAGGAAATAAGGAAGTGAACAGGGAGACTAAGCTGACCAGGGACAATGACCTCAGGGAATGAGGTGAACAGGGTGACTCACTGGTCTACACAGCTAACATCCAGAATAGAATAAACTGCCAGTAATGTTAGACCATGGCATCTCTTGTTTTTAAAGTTTTTTAAAAGATTTTTAAAAAATTTATGTGTATGTGTGTATCTGTGTGGGGCTATGTACACATGAGTGCAGTTTCCCAAAGATATCAGAAGAGGGCACCAGATCCCCTGGATCAGAAGTTACAAGCCATTATCAGCCATCTTTATGTGGTGCTGGGAACTGAATCTGGATCCTCTGAAAGAGCAACAAGTGCTTTTAACCGCTGAGTCATCTCTCTAACCCTGTTTTTACAATTTTTATTAAGAAGCATTTAAAGAAAATGCTTGGATATGGATTCAAGGTGTCTCTGCATGCGTTGTGTGTATTGTTATGTGAGTAAAGAAAATTTTGTTGTTAGATGATTTTTGATTCTGTATTAGTATAGAAGGTGGTCCTTCTGTGATCATCGACAGAATGAACTTAATGTAGAAAACAAGGAGTGTGCCAACCTCAGAAATAGATAGGTTCTACAGCCTTTAGGGAAACCCTGAGGAGAAGCAAGTGGGGGCTTGGCCTGTGGGGCTGCAATGATGGGGATACTGTAGAGGGTCTCCCCAAACTGCACTCCTTCCACTGTCTGAATGCATGCAAGAGAAGGAAGCCAGCCATCCTCCTGACTCCGCTCTCCCATGAACTCTTCCTGCTGCTTCTTCTTAGACTTTCTATGTGGCCGGGTTTAGCATCCTCTGTGGAGCTGGAATTTTCCTTTGCCTGGTCACGTCTCTGACTGTAGAATGGATGGGTCTCACAGCTGCCAAGAATCTCCACCATAATCTTCTCAATAAGATAATTCTTGGGCCAATAAGGTAAAAAAAACACATAGTTATTTTTTGTCACTGCACATGAAATAATAAAAGCATGCCTTTTATTTTTATTTATTTATTTTTAAAAATCTATTTTTATTGTTGGTAATTTTGTATGCATATGGTATCTGCATTATTTCCATCTCTCACAGTCCCTGTCTGTGATGGTCTGAATCAAAATGTCCCCCATAGGCTCTGAGTATTTGGACATTTTGTCCCCAGTAGGTGGCGCTGTTTTGGGAGGTCTTAGGTATGGCTGTCCTGGAGGAAGCATGTCACTGGGGGTGGGCTTAGAGCATTCTTAAGCCTTGCCAGATCTCCAGTCACTCTCTTGCTTCCTGTGCCTGTGGGTGATGATGTGAGAGCTTAGCTTCTGCTCCAGCCACCTCTAGCCACCAGGCCTCCCTGCCATGACAGACTGTAATTCCCCTGGAACTGTAAGCTCAAATGAACTCTTCCTTCTATAAATTGCTCATCAGTGTGTCTATCTCAGCAACGGAAGAGTGACCAATGCACTGTCCAGTTCCTCCCTTGTTCCCTGCCCCTCCTCACCTTCTTATCCTCCTTCTTTGATTATTGTTACATACACATTCATATGTTTATATACATATACACATACTGCAATGAGTCCATTTAACCTCTCAGGGAGCTCGTCCCTGGAGAAAACTGATTCGCCATCCCTCAGCATCCATTGACTGCCTGTAGCTCTTCATCTTGAGGTGGGACCTGGTGAAATTTCCCCTATGCACCTTGGCTTTGTCATTATGGGGATTTTGTTAGTCTACCAGACTGAATTAGTTGCTTTTCTATTGCTGAGGTAAAATACCACGGTCAAGGCAACTTAGAGAAGAAAGTTTATTTGGCTTATAGTTCCAAAGGGGTAGGAGTCCGTCATGGTGAGGAGATGTGGTAGGAGGAAGCCAGGGCAGAAAGCTGAACACTCACATCTTCAAGCAGGCACAGGAAGGAGAGAGAGAGAGAGAGAGAGAGAGAGAGAGAGAGAGAGAGAGAGAGAAAACCTGGAAGTGGGATGAACCTTTGAACTCTCACACACCCCCCCCCCAGTGATGTGCTTCCTCTGACATGGCCACAACTACTAATGGTTCCACAACCCTCCCCAAACAGCACTGTGCACTGGGACCAAATGTCCAAATACTTGGAGCCTATGGAGGGGCCGTCTCCTTTAAACCACCACACACACTGTGGAGATTCATTGGTTCATTTTCCCTACTGTGTCTAGAATTCATTAAACAGTAGCAGGCATCTTGTCCCTCTGGCTCTTACAGTCTTTTGGTCCTTCTTCCTCAGTGATCCCTGAACCTTAAAAATTGCATCGCAGATGTATCACTAGGAGTTGGGTGTCTCACAGTCACATATTCTCTGCATTTGACCAGTTGCAGAACTTTGTAATAGTCTCCATGTGTTACAAAAAGAAGCTTCTTTGATGGGTGGTGAGAGGTAGACTTGTCTGTAAATATAAGAATATGTGTTCAGAATATAGTAAGAAACGACTTTGGTCCAGGAAAGTGAAAAAAATGGGTTCTCCCTAGGGTCTGTGAGCACTCCAGCCGTGCGGTCTTGGCTATGAAGAACATGCATTTTTAAAATGGAAATGAAATGTGAAATTTTAAAAGAGTTTTAGTCATTGACCAAATAAATAAGATGATATTCTCATTTTCACGACTCCAGCTGTCCCTAGCAATGCTCGCGGCCCACTTTGTCTGTATCATCATCACCTTTGACCTGTTTTCGCTTAGGTTCTTTGATACCACACCCCTGGGATTGATTCTCAACCGCTTTTCCGCTGATACTAATATCATCGACCAGGTGAGTATCTGAGTTGCATCCAAGTTCCAGCATGAATTTCTCAGTGCTAAATGGCATTTCAAGATAAAGCAAGATGGCTCTTGATGGCAGCAAATTACTAAAATTTAAATTAGGGCCTATTTGCCTGCATATCCAAACCCAAAAATGAATTTTAGAACAAAATTGTTATCCCTGTTGTCGTGTGTGTGTGTGTGTGTGTGTGTGTGTTTATGAGTGTATTTCTGTGGTATATGTAGGTGCTCATGTGAGTGTATGCACTTGTGCATGTATCTGCATGTTCACTTATGTACACATGCATGCAGAGACTAGAGGTTGGCATGGGCGTCATCCCCAGTCATCCTCCACCTTATTTGGGGGGGGGGGTCTTTCACGTAACCTGGAGCTCACCAATTGGCTAAGCTGGCCGACCAGTGACCTCCAGGAATCCTTGTTGCCAACCCCCTACCTCCAGCACTGTGATTATGGGCACACCTACCTGAAGGCTGGACATGCAAACTCGGGTCCTCACGCTGGTTTGACAAACACTTTACTGAGCTATCTCCTCTGCCCCTAGAGTAAAATCTTAAAAGAACTTTAATTCCAACTAATTTGTGCACAAAGAAGAGGATGCTGAAGGATCAGCATGAAATAAAGAGATGAAGGAAAGTGTGAACCAACATTTAAGGCTTTGTAATAAAAGAGAACGATTTGGATGAATGTTCTCGGCCAACTTGCAATATAAAGTTCTTGAAGATTCAATAACCATCCAGAGTTTCTCCCAGAGGTGATGATGCCAAGCAGTCTTTTAGTTTTAATAGACTGGACTTTTGTTTGTTTTTGAGACATGTTTTTGTATCACCCAGGCTGGCCCTGAGCTTCTGATCCTCCTGCTTCCACTTCCAAAGTCCTGGGACTCTAGGCATGCGCCACCTTGCATGACTAGTTGATCTTGAAGCTTTAGACAATGTGATATTTTAGAAAGTATTCTAAAAATGCCCACTTTAGTTTAAGATCCTTTGATCTCTACAAATTTATCCCGAAATTAAAGACACCATACTCTAAATACAAATCCCTTCAAGAGCAGAACCCTAGAGCGGTTGACAAAGGAACCTGGCAAATCCAACCCCCACCTTTTCTGGAGCTCCAGAGTTATATTAGGAATATACAACTTAGCCTCAATTTGGAAAAAGAAAACCTGATACATACAACTGACAGAAAGCAAGCCAGGAGATTCTCATGGTTTCTGGCATTGGTATTGTTACCCTGCACCTAAAACATCTCTGAAGAAATATTCATAGAAAAAAAGAGGTCAAACAGTTGTTTATAAGACGATAAAGTAGTTTCCTAGAAAATGCAAAACAATTAGCAAGATAAAGAAACAAAAAGATATGTCAAGATATTTCATATGAAAATTGGCAACTTCCTCTATGCCAGTTACAAATTTTTGTGAAAAACAAGTGTCATTATACTAACAAAAGTTATAAAAACAGAAATAATGATACTTTATAGAAGATCAATCTCAGAAGTCATAAAAATCTTGTGTGTGTATTATAAAGAAAATTTCCTTGTCAATTATCAAGAAAATACAACAAAGTAAAGCATTCACCGGGTATGGTTGTGCTCGCCTTTAATCCCAGCACTCAGGAGGCAGAGGCAGGTGGCTCTCTTGGCTCAGCTTGATCGACATAGTGAGTTCAGGCCATCCAGGGCTACATAGTAAGACCCTGTCTCAAGGAAAAACAATTAAAGCATCCCATTTTTTCTAGAAGATACAGAGATGAAAGGAACAAAATGGACATTTAAAAGCCCAGGGATGGGGAGCTGGCTCAGTGGGCAAGGTGCTTGCTACACAAGCAGGGGGACCTGAGTACAGATTTCCAGCACCTACCACGTAAAAGGCAGGTGCAGGGCATGTATCTATAACCTCAGCATGGTGGGTGGCATGGGAGGGACAGGTAGATGCCAGGGATTTGCTGGTCAGCCAGTAGAGCTGAAATGGAAAGTTCTGGGTTCATTGAGAGATCCTGGCACAAAAAATAATGTGGAGAGGAGCTGGAGAGATGGCTCAGTGGTTAAAAGCACTGGCTGCTCTTGCAGAGGACCCCGGTTTGGTTCCCAGTACCCACATGACAGCTAACAACCATCTGTAACTCCAGTCCCAGGGGATTCAGTGCCCTCTTCTGACCTCCGAAGGCATTGTATGACTCAGATGCAATTACATGCATGCAGGCAATACACTGATACACCTTTAAAAAATAAAAATAACGAATAAAAATTAAGGTGGGGAGTAATAGAGTAAGATGCCCAAAGTTGATTTCTGGTTTCCACACATGCATGCTCCCAGGGGCTCTCACACCTGCATGCATGCATGTACATATAAATTAGTCCATATAGAAATTTAACACAAGATAAATGTGGCGTCTTGAACTTATTAGAAAATCATTAATTTTTTAAAAAGTAAAAGACATTGAAAGGCTGGCCGTGGTGGTACATGCCTGTAGTCCCAACACTTGGGAGGCAGAAGCAGGTAGATCGCTATGAGTTCAAGGTCAGCCTGGTCTACATAGTGAGTTCCAGGTCAGCTGGGACTACAGGGAGACCCTGTCTCAAAAA